GATTCTTATACCATTTAAGACACTCCTAAAGGTGCTTGATTTACGTTATCATTTAATCCATTTCAAGAGCACAGATGTCCCTCTTGAATTCTTGCACACGACACCCGTGAACAACCATGGTTGTAAATCCAAAACTCTTGTACCAATTTGATATTAGAAAGGTATGAAAATCACAAAGGTGCACGTCAATCATACAAATGATAATTTTTGCTCATTATTCTAAGGTACAAAACCAAAGAGATACATAAATGAATAACAAACTCACCCTTTTAAAAAGATGGAATGATACTATCCAAGAAATGGTTGAATAATAAAATTCAAATTCTAACATAATTGTACATATTATCCAATTTTATACTATCAAACATAACTCTCAATTCAATTATTGGATTGAGCTAAAATTTAACCAAGAGTTTTCAGACATATTTTTCTACATCAAGTTAAAATTACAAGTCAATCGTAGTTCTATAAGGCATCATGATACAATTCAGAAGATGCAATATGATTTTGATATTTGTTGTCTTTTGACTCGTAAACTTTCAATTTAGAAAGGATTTTTTTTCCCTTGAGATAAGGCATTTGGAAAGGATTCCTTTATTGATAATGAAAGGATATTCAAAATCTATTTTAAAGGTTTTTTCTAATTCTACAAGGATCTTTAATCGACAACAATATAGTTTTCAAATTTGACAAGGATTTCTTCAATGTTCAAAAATCTTTTTTTACAATGATTTTTGGGTTGATTTTTTCTATTATATATTTTTACGCTAACAAGTATAATTTTTTATTCAACAATTAGATATAACTGAAATTTTATTAGACGTTTTGTTTTATATCCTGTTAAAAGTTTAAATGAATCTAATATCGAGAAAGGCTTGCATTAACATCCAGGAGCTCACTTGTAAGATTTATATTAGTTTCTTATTTGATTTAAGATTTATTTAAAACTTTTTTTATTATTTGTTTCAAAATTGTTTACGATGTCTTTCATCTATTATGACATCTATTATCAATAGGATTATTAGAGTGTACCTGGGTTTTTTTAGCTTTATCATAATGTTTTGAATAAACTAGTGTTTTGTATAATGCAATATTTTTCTTTTTATTTAAACAAACAATTCAACTTATTAAAATATAACTGACTTTATGGTGTTTTTCTTTGTACTTCTTATTCACAAATTGGTATTTATAGAGTTGGGTTTCTTATTTCAATAGTATTGATGTCGTGAAACATATTTTTATTATGTCATATTCTTATTAGGCTTGTTTCAGCTTTTCAAAATTTGTTATCAAATTTGTTATAGGTTGTGTGATCAGAAGATTTGCATCATAAAATTAAAGAATAAGTCTATCACTTATAAAGAAGATGCAAAACTTGATATTATGCCAAAAAACCAAGTCAAAAGACTTGAAATGATCATGCAATCATGTAATCTGCAAAAATAGCTAACACAAACTCGAAAAAGCTAAAAATCAAATTTAAAAGTAACATTACATAATAGTTATCTATCTTGAATGAGACAATAATTTTATTGAAAATAAACCCTCCACCCAACAATGATAACAAAAAATTGCTATCAAAGACAATTATCCTTCAATAAATTGATTTTCAATTCATTTAAAAATTTAGAATCTTCCAAAACGTACAATTCCATTTCATTCAAAAAAAACATTCTGAGAGTTTTGAGTTTTTTATTCTTTTTTGGATAAGGATTAAAAAAATACTTATCCGTTCCCTTTTAAAAAAGTATCACCAAGTAAAATACAGAAGCTTGAATAATATAAAAACAATTTAATTGTTTCTAAAGTTATTCTTTTTTGTACTGCTTCATATTTGGATTTTCTGATAATTTTTTCATTATTTATTTATTTGTTTCTTACTTGGGTGTTAAGAGAGCCTCTCTCCACAATATGCCCATACTTTCTTCTTTGTTGATTTAGGTTAGGCGGGGTTGTGTCCCCCTTTCCAAGCTGTGTAGAGTTCCTTCTATTTTATTTTTTTTGTTAATACACTTCCCCTATAAAAAATATAAATAAAAAAGATTTAGATGTACAAATCAATCTATATACAGAACGCCCCCCTCGACAGTGATCATCAGCTACACGATGGGCTAAGAATAGAAAATCAAGAAAAACCTACATGGGGAAGAGTTCACAAGTGGCCTCTCAGCCACCTTGCAGGAGAACCCAAATTCTGAATTCTACATACGATCTCCACCCATGTTTGTCTCTGTTTTCATTCTCAGAATAGAATCTCTGGAAAAAACAATATTTCCTTTGACATCCATTTTGCCGTACTCTTTGGCAAGAGAATCCATCACGATTCCACAAGATCTCCATGTCTCACACATCAGCTCAGCACCAAAATAAACTAAATGATCTGCAATACTGTTCCCTGCCACCGACCTGCACAAAAAATTCAATGCTGGAGGTTGTAGCAATGTTTTGGGAGAAGAATCTCTCTTAAACTGTGTTAACTATGTAGTTATTTCTACATATCTCAAATATCATTTACGTGGGGAAGGTCGCCTGCTACAGTTTGGGTCTTCACCAGAACCATCACAGACCTTCTCCACTTCATAAACCAGACTTCCCACTCCAATGTTATGCAGCCAAACCTGCAATTAAGAGAAAGGTTATTACTGTTTTAAAAAGCTGAAGAAACCCAGTGCATGCGCATGATTCCCAAAGAACTTTTCTGTACGGCTGTAAAGGTTATTACTGTTTTAAAAAGCTGAAGAAACCTAGTGCAGGCGCACGATTCCAAAATCTCACGATTCAAGGACAAGGCTGAATTATCAGAAGGCTAAATTGCATAAGTGCATATTTTAATAGAAGATCCAACATGTCCAAGCAAAGCATCAACATCAATGGATTGATTTATAGCTGTGCAGACTTTTAAAAAATGGAATTATCAGAAAATTCACATGCCTTGACTATATATCCATTGCATTGCAAGCTTAATACTAATTCCATCGATCATTCACCTGAGAAAGTAAATGTTACCTCTCTTGGGAAGTGATGGTACGTCTTTTGAGGGAAATAACGATAGTATGGAGGTAGATGTGGTACAATATCATGTTCATTTGTGACTCGGATTGTGTTTGGCACAAGTTGACTGTAGTAAGAAGAAAAAGCTGCATTGCCAACCCGAGGCTGTCCAAATGTCATAACCTGAACATTCTTGGCTTCAGTATTAACCTGGAGATAGACAAATGCATATTCAATACCATGTCAAAGGCATCAACAACCAAACGTTGCAAATAAAATACAATAGTAATAATATGGAAGTAAAGTCACACAAAATGTAGAATATAAAATGCATTAATAATATTCTCGGCTATAATTCAACTTTGGTACTTCTTGTCAACCGTCTCAATGCAGATGGCTTACACCATCGCTTCCTGTTATATTATTATTTTAGATCTCAATAATGAATTCTGATATGTAAATTCTGATTGTGTATATTTTAAGTTAAGATAATATCACACTATATTAAAATAAATGGCTAGCTTA